AATGCACCTTCAGTCCTTTTGACACTTAGAATATTCTGACTCTGAAAACATTCAACTCTATCTAGTCTAATTTTTATTTTTTTCACTTGATTCGTGTGTGTGTATGTGTGTGTGTGTGTGTGTGTGTGTGTTATGTTCTGTCTTATATTCAAGCAAAGCTGGTTTGTCTTATATTTTCCTAAGGCAATTCATTGGTGACAATCAACAGTGTGATTAGTGTTTACCAAGAATGAGAAACATTGTGCATTTACACATTGCACAAAAATTGTTGCTTCTGTGTCCTGTATTCTCACTTTTTCTGGATCTTTCAATGGACAAATTTCCACCCATTAGGCAATTGTTGACACAGGAGATTCTATAGGAGAAATGTGCAATGTTAGCTGACAGGCAAATGTTTGTTGTCTTATAAGAATTTTTGAGGATGGGCAAATATGGAAGTGCTTCCTAACATTGGGTGGTATGAACCTGGGGTGGATGGGTCTAAAGAGGCATGCTAGAGATGCCACTAGCATCAATGCAGAAATGGGCATTTCAACCTGGCATAAATGCTTGCTAGACTGACTGGCAGCCTTCTTGGTCGGCCCCATGAAAGTGTTAGGATATCTAAAAAAAAGCATTGCCTGCATGGTGTGAAAATTGGCGCATTGGATTGGCCCAGAGATCATCAGTACCAGAAGATCTCCAGGTGGGCACAGCATAGCAGGTCTGCGTTGATGGACTTTCTCACCATTTAAAGGGACACTATAGTCACCAGAACAACTACAGCTTATTGAATTTGTTCTGGTGAGTAGAATCATTACCTTCAGGCTTTTTGCTGTAAACATTGTCTTTTCAGAGAAAATGCAGTGTTTACATTACAGCCTAGTGATAACTTCACTGGCCACTCCTCAGATGCCTGTTAGAGATCCTTCATGAGTCATGGCTGCCTAAAATGCATCCAAACATTCAGTGTCTCCTCCCTCTGCATGCAGACACTGAACTTTCCTCATAGAGATTCATTGATTTAATTCATCTCTCTGAGGAGATGCTGATTGGCCAGGGCTGTGTTTGAATCTGCCTTCTTTGTCAGTCTCAGCCAATCCCATGGGGATGCATTGTGATTGGATCAGGCCACCACTTCTTATGATGTTAGCAGACAGATTTTGACTATTGACTATTCTGAGTCAAACAGCATGCAGAGCTACAGCTTCAGGCTTGAATAAAAGTAAGATTTTGCTATTTGTAGGGAGGCATGAGGGGCCATTCAGAGTTTTTGTAGTCTTTAAAGTTACATTGCATGCCATTTGTAAATTACAGATTTCAGAGCTGTCGCGGAGACCAAGTTCTGTTCTGTGCTGCAAACGTAAAATTAATACATATACATCTTAATAACATTACAAACATGGCCGAGGGTTCCATTTGACCCATATATAACCACTAGAAGGCTTCTCAACGTCTTTTTTAACATTTGTGGGCTTTTTCTCTCCTTCACATAGTGCTGTGAAATACATTTTTAGCTATATGAAGAAATAGCAAATCATAAACTTATTTTCCAGTTTAGTCTTAGAGTTACTACTACATGTATCCCTTTAGATTATGTCCATTTATTACATTCTACATAACTATAGGAAGAAAAAAAAGCCGTAAACCATGTCTATGTGAATTATACGCCACAGTACCCGTTTCCAAATGATTACTGTCATGCGAAGCAGATTGAACATAATAGTTCCATATCCGGACTGCATTATCAGGAACACACATACATGGCGATCAATATCTACAACTCCTGTCTCCCAGGTTAATTAGAGATAAGACATTAAGGTCTCCAGGGAGATTGAGCCTCACCCGTGCGTTGAGAATCTTGTATCTACACAATTTTTTCCATGGAAGAAAAATACATTTAATGCTGTTTGGCTCTCTGCATCTCAATTCCAAATTTATTTCCCGGGGCTAAGATTTTGTTTCATGCTAGCACACATAATTTTTCTTCAGCTAATGGACCTTTTAAAAATGAGCAGACATTATCGGTGCACTAACCTTTAAATAGGTTTTCTATTTTACTTAATTGCAAAACTAACAGGGTTATTTACTAAAGTGAGAATTCAAAGTGAAATTCAAATTTAATGTCAAAATAGCCAATTTGAAAACATTGTCTTATTCAGCTATGCTGTCAGTGCGGCTGCTTTAACCTTAAATTACACTTTGCATTCACTTTGAATTCTCAGCTATGTAAATAGCCCATGCTAGTATCAAATTCAGCTTCAGGCATAACTTGGCTATTTTGCCATTTCGTTTCAGGACAATTTACTGTTTACCCTTTAATTTACCCTTTAATGATGAGTCAGCTTTAGAGGAGTATTAAGTCAGCTATAAAATATTATTCTAGGATTTTCCAAGTCCAGGTGGCTTCTTTCTCTTATAAATAGATTTACCACGTTTACTGGTAAAAATAGGATTCTCCACTCAGCTCACTAATATTACCATTTTCTGAACACCGAAAAAGGCTCAATGTGTGTTCTAATTAAAGGTCACCTGCACATGAAAATGCATATTTTGATACAAGAAAAAAACAAGAAAAAGTCTCAAAATCACATCACTGTTATTACGTTACCAGAACATTTTGTGTTGTTCCCAGACTGCACATACAGACTCTTTACTATCAAACAACTTTTTTTATAACATTATTACATTTATTATTATATTACTAGAGAGAAATGTTCAAAGATCACCATTTAAGTGCTGATCACGTGTTGGTACTTCAATGATGACAGAGAGGATTGACCTAGCCACTACAGGCATCAGAGGAGGAGAAAACGATGAAAAAAATACATAAAGGAACACTCTAGAAAATGTCTGTTTCTAACACTATAGTTTCCTAACTGCCTAGGTATCTGCCTCTCCCCATATCTTACGTATAGAAGCATTTTAATAACATTTGAGCCCTTGCTGTACTGCCCTCCTCGCTGCCGGTTCTAATTGGCTGAGATCATCCGTTTTGATGACCTCAGCCAATCCAATGTTTTTCTATGATGATGTCAGTCAAGGAGGCAGATCGAGGGCAGGGCCAAATGCGAGGAGCCCTACATGGCACTGGAAAAAGATGAATAAATCATCTTTTTAACTCAAGGTAAGGGGGGCTGACCAAATAAACAGTGGTTTTAGAGCTACGGTGTCAGGAATACATATTTGTGTTCCTGATACTGTAGTACCCCTTTAAGAGTTCATTTAATGCTAAAATAATTTATAAAATAATTAAATAAAATAATTTAGGCATATTTAAGCACAAAGGCTTAACATCAGTAGTTTCTCTGATATACAATGATATAGATGTGTCTATTCCCTCCACTTATGGAGCAAGTGTTGTCTACAGTACCAGTTAAGCATGATTAGCCCACCCACGTCTTAGGTGGTGTCAATCACACGTTTAGATGAGTATTCAAGTAACTAGTAGTTTAAAAAGAACTGAAAGGAATTTTCAGAGATGAAGAAAAACCAAATGCTTCTCTATGGCATGGACAACTGCTCCAGAGACTCAAGTTGGCCTAAGACTCCATTTAGGTTGGAAGGATGGCACTCTATCATTATCACAATATAATCACATCAGTAACCAAATATTTAACAGATAGTGCAAGGATATATTATGCAAGCCTCGGAAATTGAAAGGGTAATTTAAATGTAATTGAATCTTTTAAGGGAAGCCAATTACAGTGTTAAATTGGATGCCTGTATTTATTTATTTGGAAAGAAGGTGTGTAGAATTAGCCATTTACACATTCCATTCTAATAGATTTCCCATTAGAGATCGCTGCATAACGTCAGGAAATAATGGATTCCACAGAAAGTCGTTTATCGCAATTTGACTCCATCGGGAGAAATGAAGTCAGTGTAGCTACCGTAACAACAGAAATGTTCATTGTTCAGTTATTAACCCCTTAAGGACACATGACATGTGTGACATGTCATGATTCCCTTTTATTCCAGAAGTTTGGTCCTTAAGGGGTTAAAGGGTCAGTAATGCATCAGTATAAATGTTTTTCATATGAAATCATACACTGTAAAAAATCCACATATTGATTTCAAAAGTTATTGGGCTTACACATTATGCATGTATTCCTATTTCCTACAAGAAGATCTGCGACTTTAGAGGGAGCCGATAACTAGTAACAAGAAGAAGAGGCTTATCTATTAATTTGATGTCAGAGCTGTGTTTTGATTGGCAGCTTGATGTACCCAGACAAAAACTGATAGGATTCTAATCCTGGTCAACTACCAGATAAAACATAACTGAGAACAGACTAATGGTATCCTCTCTCTATTATAAAATGAAAATGTTTTTCTTCAATACAAGTAAAAGTATACATTTACATTTATGTCTTTTACATGTATGTTTCAACATCTCAGTAATTATATCTTATATAGCCAACACTAAAATGTTATATTTATGTTATTTCAATAATTTAAACAACAAAAAAATTGGAGTGTTTTTTATTGATATTGCTAGTTATAAAACCAAAATATATGATTGTAAGTTTTTATGCTGAGATAAAGTTCACATTCCAACTGCACATTGCCTGTTATAATTCAAAATGTATATCAAACTATATCTGAATACCATGACTACAAACAGTGAAAAGCTCTTTTCAAATATATGTATATTATATGTTATACTGGGTTCTACCTTGTCCATCTCAAAAACAAGCAAATGAGAGAAGCTACTGGAAAAGAATAGACCAGTCTCTCTTTAATAGGCCTTGTTTCCCAATTTGGAATGAAAATTGATAGGCAAAGCTACATGCCACTATCCCATCTACCACCACATCCACCTGCACAGAGAGAAAATCTGGGGGCTCCAGGCGAAATCTATGAGATTCCCATTACTTTAAAAGAGACTTTCATGGTAGTATGCATTTAATTATTTAGGTAAGATAATAAATAAGAAAAAATGTTATAGAGTTTATTCTAACATGACAATCTGTTCCCCATTGCAATGTTAATGTTTTATATGTCAAATCTATAACAGGATGGTTCTAGATCCCTTGGGTGGTTCCTACTTTGAAGAACATGGAAGACAAAAGAAGAAATGGAAATGGTGGGATTTCAGCCAGCATGTGCATGCTCCTCCCTTTCAGTCCATTCATCTGAAACTCAATTCAAACATTGACGTGCACCTTCTAGCACAAGATCAAATCTATGTTACGTTCTCCAAGGAGAAGAAATTTACATTTAATGTTGGATCTAAACTACTGGTAAGGCACTAATTTATGTTCTTCCCTGTTACTTTTTAGCATAACGTTCTTCACAAATCAGTGCCCCGCAGTTACTCAGAGCATCATAACCATTAAAGCATGCTGTAGTGGTATTGGTGCCAGGAGTACCCTGGGCCTTTCCACAGTAAGGGGCAAACCTCTTTGCAACACTTTGCCTATACCTGGGTACTAACAGGCATTGCAGAACATTAAGTAGTTGTTTTGGTAGTTAAAGTGTCCATTTAAATGCCAATGACACAGCATCAGACTTCTGCAAACCTACCGAGCCATGTGTCGATAGAGCCCATCATTTATTGGCAATGGCTAAGACTTTTAGATGAGTGCTCTCAGCCATTGAATGAACGGATGTGAAAGGAATATGCACAGAATTAACACTACCCAGCCAGCAGGTCTCACTCACTCTGTTCGCACTGATATAGACCATATCACTTTACAACTATAGAATGGGGATATTTAACAACTACTAATTGACATACAAAATAATATTGACAAAGACCTCTATCCTCCATTCTCTAAGGGGGTGCCAAACAGGTAGATGCAGGTTATAAGTAGCTGCTTATGTTTTCTCAGGCTTATCCATCCTCCTCGGCTAAGATATATTTGCTAGAAGATAATAATGGGTAGAGGGAAGTGATATTAGAAATGTCAGTGTGGGGTAGAAGATAATACTAATGGATGTATGCAAGGTTTGTGTTCTGTTCCTAAATAGACAAGCACTTGGCTGCATATATAAGACTTGCATAGTATTCTAATTTCCGGCAGTTCCATGATATGAAGTTACTTGAACAGCGCACAGGTTCTACATGATACAATAAATCTTCTTAGCTGCCTGAGTAGATTTCAGTTTACACATATTTATAGCAATGTGGGACTCTTACTGCAGTCTGTGTTTAATCCTTTAGTTGAAAGATCCCAGCAATGACAAACTGCTTATGGGCCCGGAGATTGACGAGGAAGAATACTACCTTAGATTCAAGCATTTTCAAATTTACAGCCTTTTTGCTAACCTTCAAAAATCGATAAGGATTCCAAGTGGTCTACAAGACAGAATAAATAGTATTGAAGACTTTGTTTTACAGCTAAACAAATCAATAAAATATCTAAGAAAACGTACAAGAAAATGGAATCAGGTGAACTTCACAAAAAAGTTACCCAGTGAAGCAATGGAAGCAAAAGACAAAGAACTCGTGATAAAATATCAAGAGAGAAATAGCAAAGAGGCTGATGGACTTTCCAATGATGGGACATTGTTACTTAGGGATAAATCACATAAAGACATAGGCAAGGACATCAACATTCAGTCTATGAAGGACCCTGGAAGGCAACCACTTATCAAAACGTCGAAAAAAAAATATCAAAAAGCCTAAACACAAAACCAACAAATAAGCACAGCATCCAAATTACAATGATGGTTTGTTCATGATCGGTTACTGTATCTATGGTGTGAAATAAGAAAAAATTAAAAACAAGTAATGCAAAGTGTTTTAATGATGTTACATATTTTATATCAAGGAGCAACACTTGACAGCTATTTCATGTAACCTACTGTATCAAACATTAGAATAGACGTTACCACTAGTTGCACATTATGCTTCTGCATTATTCAACAAGCTCTCTTAAATAAACTTTTTGTTTTGTAGTTAACAGTGTCACTCTGGGCATTGTATAGCCATACATGTACATGACTAAGCCATTCATAGCAATGTTATTTCACTTTTATTTACATAAACTAATACCTAATTTTATTTAATGTATTTTAAGACACATTATTGTTTGTTGCATTTCTGGGTTGTTCTGTTTCGCATGCACAACTAAAATTCTGGGCTTGAAGCATGTTGGGATTGGCTTCCCAGAGAGACAACTGGGAGATATGGGTCTATCTTATAGGAAAATTATGCCTCCAGTAGTCTGGAACAAACGATGATACCTTCCCATTCCAAAGTTCTCCCTCACCAGAAGGCATGTTGGGAAGGCATTTGTGCATTCTGGTTGCGAATATAGAAATATCTCCACAAACCAAATGCATTTAGGAGCCACATAAGAGTGGGCCACTTACCAGAGTGTTCTATTTTCTCACAGAGCTACGCTGGGAGAATGTGCTCTCATATTTTCTCCTGGTACACCCAGCATATCACATTGGAAGAGAAGCGAATGTCACTAAGCACAGGGATGCTACTCTACAGCACCCAAAGTGTATGTTATCAGAGGAAGTTATTCATATATTTTTCTTTGCATCTGCTGTGTGTACCTGTGTGTGTCAGTTAAAATTTTTGTGTAGTTGTGGCAATGTATATCTGTATGTATCATTCGGTGTCTCTGTGTGCCAGTGTGTATGTGTGTCTGACAGTGTTCAATTGGGTGTGTGTTTGCCTGTGAATGCATATTTTGTGTTTCTGTGTTTAGCAATATCAAATTGGAAATGCGTTTCTTGTGTTTCTGGAAGTATGTACATCATTTAGACTGTGTCTGTGTATGTTTCTAGGAGCATGTGTCTGTGTAAATGTCAGCGTGTGTCTAAGTCACACATAGTTTTATTTTTTAAAGGTCACATAATCTCTGGTCGCAGCCCTGATTTCAGGGTAGGAATATGTTCCATTGTCTGGTTAAAATGAGATGCTTGGCTAATTTGGGACTTGCTTCCATAATTGTTGCAATGATTTATTGACAAATCAGCAATTTGCATACTACAAAGCTTACAGTTTAGCAACAAGTAATAGGTGGCTGCCAAATATTTTTTAACATTTCCCACTAAATTCAATAAACAGTGCCAGTTTACATGGTAGATATTACATATAACCATTGTGCTGGATGTTGCCACTAGTTTCTAGGTTTAATATCTAATTCACCAATGCGTAAAATGGAAAAGAGTGATCGCAAAGTGGCACTATTTCTCAGCTAAGAAAAAGACATGCAATGCCTATTTAAAGCAGCACTTTTTCTTTCAATTTTCCTTTCCTTATGCTCTTTATAACTTTATTATAAATTTTTGTTTTAGATTTATTTTTCTTCCTTGTGTTGGATCTCAATATTTGGGCACCTCTATTTTGTTCTCCTTTGTCTGTCATGTCTGAGGTTTGTTCTTCTGTGAAGTTCTCTGAACTGATGAATTGTGGATAAATAACATTGGTAGCAAAAATGACTACGAATTTTGGGGAAAAAAAGTGGAATTATGTAGAATATATACTGTGCATTCAGAAAGTATTCAGACCCATTCTTGTTTTCACATTTTATTCACCTTATTTTAAAACCCCCGCAAATGTATTAAACAGAAATATCACATTGACATAAGTATTCAGAACCTTTATCTCAGTACTTACTTGAAGCACCTTTGGCAGTGATTACTGTCTCAAGTCTTTTTGGGTATGATGTGAGAATCTTTGCACACCTGGATAGCTGTAGTTTTTGCCAAGTATCACTGCAGATCCTCTCAAGCTCTGTCTGGTTGGATAGGGGCTAGACATGTGCAATTCAGTTCGGTCCAAATGGAAATTCGAAAGAATTCTGGACAATCGGATGCTTCCGAATTGCTGAATGTCCGAAAAGTCGAAGTGCCGAATTTCGGAAGTGCACAACCGAACCGAATTGCCAAAGTGCTGAATTTCAGAAGTGCCGAAGTGCTTTGGACTTCTGAAAAGTGGCAAAACGGGTAAGGGTAGGATTGGGGTTAAGGTTGGGTTAGGAGTAGGTTTAGTGGTAGAGTTGAGTTAGGAGTAAGGTTTGGGTTAACCTAACCCTACCCTTACCCAGAGTCCCAAAGTGCCGAACCAAAGCGCAAAGTCCCGAATTTTGGAAGTGCCGATCCGAACAGAATTGCCAAAGTGCCGAATTTCCAAAGTCCTGAATTCCGAACCGAACCACATTTTTTGCCCATGCACATCCCTAATAGGGGCTGTATGTGGACAGCCATTTTCAGTTCACTCCATAGATGTTTTAGTCACTCTTGGCTGTGTGTTTAGGGTCATTGTCCTCTTGGAAGGTGAACATGAGGTCCTGAACACTCTGGACCAGGTTTTCATTATTTTCATTTTCCTATTTTGCTAAAATCAGCTTTACCTCAACCCTCACCAGTCTCCCAGGTGCATCATTTCACCATGTTTCACCGCTGGGAAAATTTTGCATAGGTGTTGCAGTGATGGTTGTCCTTCCTCAAGTTTCTTCCATCCCCGTACATGAGCTCTGAAGCTCACCTAGAATGACTAATTATGATTATTTTAATATTATTTTATTATTTATATAGCGCCAGCAAATTCTGTAGCGCTGTACAATGGGTGGACTAACAGACAAGTGGGCGCACAGGAACAGAGGGGTTGAGGGCCCTGCTCAATGAGCTTACATGCTAGAGGGAGTGGGGTATAGTGACACAAAGGGTATAAGTAGGGGTAATGAAATGGGTTGCTAGAAAAGTATTCACTTGGGGCAGGGATAGGCAACCTTCGGCACTCCAGATTTTTGGACTACATCTCCCATAATGCTCTTACACCCATAATGCTGGCAAAGCATCATGGGAGGTGTAGTCCAAAACATCTGGAGTGCCAAAGGTTGCCTATGCCTGACTTAGAGCTTAGAAGGTTATTTTTGACATTTGCAGGAGAGGAGTCATGGGGCGGGGCGGGGTGGGGGTGAAAACATGCTAACAGTTTAATTGATATGCTTTCCTGAATAAGTGTGTTTTCAAAGATTTTTTGAAGGAGTGGAGACTGGGTGAAAGTCTTACGGAGAAGGGAAGGGAGTTCCACAGAAAAGGTGCAGCCCTGGAGAAATCTTGAAGGCAACCATCAGATGCAGGAGTACAGACAGAGGATAGACGTAGGTCTTTGGCAGAGCGCAGGGGTCTCAAAGGGACATACTTATGTATTAGGGTGGATAGGTAGGTTGGAGCAGTATTATCTAGGGACTTGTAAGCAAGCATCAGAATCTTAAATTGAGCCTTAAATCTAACTGGAAGCCAATGTAGGGACTGACATTGGAAAATGAGCTTTGTCACCGAATTTATTATAGAATGCAGCGGTGCAAGCTGGGAACACGTAAGACCACTGAGAAGGGGACTGCAGTAGTCAAGGAGAGAGAGAGAACAACGACATGAACCAGCACCTTAGCCACGTTCGGCGTTAAAAAGGGGCAGATGCAATTTATTATTTTTTAGATGGAAGCGGCAGGATTTGGCGATTGATTGGACATGATGGCTGAAGTAGAGATTGGAGTCAAAGAGAACATCTAGGCAGCGAGCCTGCAAGGTAGAGGTGATGGTGGCGCAGTTGACTTGGAGGGAGAAAGACACAAGACTAGAAACACTTGAGGGAGGAAAGATCAGAAGTTCTGTTTTGGACAGGTTGAGTTTAAGGAAGTGAGCAGCCACCCAGTTGCAGAGGAAATAGCAGAGAGGCAGTTAGAGACACGAGTCAAGATCTGTGGAGAGAGATCAGGAGAGGACAGGTAGATTTGGGTGTCATCTGCATATAAATGTTAATGGAAGAAAAAGGAGCTGATGAGTTTACCAAGGGAGGCAGTATAGATAGAGAACAGTAGGGGACCAAGAACAGGACCTTGGAGAACGCCAACAGAGAGGGGTTGGGGAGAAGAGGCAGAGCCAGAGAAAGAAACACTGAAGAAGCGCTAGGAGAGCACCAGGAGAGAGCAGTATCCCGTACACCGAGATTATGGAGAATGAGAAGACACTGTTGATGATCAACAGTGTCAAAGGCAGCAGAAAGATCAAGGAGGATTAGGATAGAGTAATGGCCGTGAGATTTAGCAGCAATTAAATTGCTTGATACTTTGGTCACAGCCGCTTCGACCGAGTGACGAGAGCGGAATCCAGACTTAAGCAGGTCAAGCAGAAACTCTCTCAAGGATATTGAAGGCAAATGGCAGTAGTGGTAGTTGTATAGGGCGGTAGCTGGATGGAGAGTTGGGGTCAAGGTTGGTCTTTTTCAGAATCAGAGTTATGGCTGCATGCTTGAACAGTGAAAGAAATGTGCCAAAGGAAAGGGAGAGATTGAAAATTTTAGTGAGCAGAAGAGCAAGAGAGGGAGACAGAGTGCGGATGAGATATGAGGGAATAGAATCGAGAGAACAGGTGGTGGGGTGGGAGGACAAGAGCAGAGCAGAAACCTCTTCCATTGTAGTGGGTGCAAATGATCATAGAACAGCAGAGGGAGAGAGATTAGGGATAGTAGAAATCTTCTCAGTGAATTGAGGTGCAAAGTTTGAGGCAGACAGAGTGGTAGGAGGAGGGGGAGCAACAGGGTGAAGGAGAGCATTAAAAGTGTGAAATAGACATTTGGGTTGGTAGGACAGTGTGCTTATGAGGGTGTTGAAGTAATTTAATTTAGTATAGGGAAAGAGCCAGACTGTAGGAGCGCATCATAAATTTATAGTGGAGGAAGTCAGGTGCAGAGTGAAACTTTCTCCAGCAGTGTTCAGCAGTTCTGAAACATTTTTGGAAATATCAAGTCAGCTTGGTGTGCCAGGGTTGTAATTGGGAGGAAGAAAAGTGTTCAATTTATAACCTAGGATGAGTCGGAGGAGAGGTGGGGGGAGATGATGGCAATTCTTAAAGGAGAGGGCCTTAATATGGTGACACTTTAATCCTCAAAGGAAGTAAAGGACAGGGCAGGGGCAGGGAGAGTAGGTTGAAAGGTGCATTAAGGGGAGACAACCAAATCAAGGTACATTGATTGTAGTACACCAAAACATAAAGAAGCCGGAGTAGCGGTATCAGGTCTCAGTGAGTGCTAGTAGTGTGAGGGAATTAGTGATGAAGAGGTAGTGTGTGGCTGTTGATTTAATATTGCTACAGATGGAACAGGTGTTCCAGAGTGCACACTGAATGTTGGTAGAGTAAAATAAACTGCAGGGTATTTGAATGAGGTTCACCCTTCTCCCCTGATTGGTCATTTTAGCTGTGGTGCCAGCTCTTGGAGGTGTCCTAGTTGTTCCAAAGATTTTCCACTGAAAAATTATGGAAGTCATTGTGTTCTTAAGAACCTGCAGTGCAGCCCGTATTTTTGTAGCATTCCCCAGAACTGTGCCTCAACTCAATCCTGTTTCTGAGCTCTGCCGGCTGCTCCTTTGACCTTATATAAACACGTGTGCCTTTCAAATCATGTCCACCTAATTGAATTTGCAACAGATGGACTCCAAACAAAGTGTTGAAACCTCTCAAAGATAATCCGGAGAAATGGGATTCATCTAAGCTAAATTTCAAGTGTCATAACAAAGGGTCTGAATACTTATATCAGTGATGTTTAGTTTTTTTTCCTTTCTAATACGTTAGCAATGTTTTAAAGCATCATTATAGTCACCAGAACAATTACACTTTAATGTAGTGTCTGTGCAGGCTTCTTTATCTGAGTAAAAAAGAAAGACTGAGAACTCTGAGAACAGACAACTCAATAGCTTGCCCTTCGGTACATCCCTGCTCAGGTAAAAAAAAATTGTTTTTGCTTACATGTGCCATTTCAGAGAGAACATATCTGAAGCATTTCAGACTGGTCCCACTTGTACGGGCAGTCCAGATCCGAAATGCCATGAAGTTCCATCTGCACATGAGATACAGCAATCCCATGTGATCATTTCCGCCTTCTTTTGGGCCTCGTCAGTGAGATGTAGCTGATATCCCTCTATGCACAGTGAGCACGAAGACCATGTCTGGATTACCCTTTAACTGGGGGTGAGCCAAGTTAATGCATTAAAGCAAAAAAGAAAGAATGAGTACTCTGTACGGAAAAAAGCTTAGAGTAAACTTAATAGCTTACCCTTCGGTACATCCTCTTTATTGCTTTAATGCATTAACTTGGCTCACCCCAAGTTAAAAGGTGATCCAGACGTGGACCCCGTGCTCACTATGCCCAGAGGGTTATCAGCTACACCTCCCTGACGAGGCCCAAAAGAAGGCCGAAACGATCGTCTGGGGTTGCTGAATCTCTCGTGCAGATGGAACTTACTGGCATTTTGGATCTGGACTGCCTCTAAGCTTTTGTTCGTTCTCAGAGTTTTCATTTTTTCTTTGTCAGAGTGACTGGCAGTAGGGGCAGTAATGTAAAAGGCAGTGTTTACATTAGTGTCTAGTAACACCTCTGGTGCCAGTCACTCAGACAGCTACAAGAGGTGCTTCCTGGGTCTTTACGCAGCACTGGTCTTCAGCATGGAGGCGCAGAACGTTCCCCATAGAGATGCTGATTGGTATAGTGGTTTGCTGTACAGTTGCAATAGGCTCTTATTGCTTTCTTATCGTCAAAATTGACAATATCAGCCAAGGAGGCAGAGGGTGGATGGAACTAGCTGTGGGAGACCCGGGCGGGGCTGGAATAAAGGTAAGTTTATTACCTGTTTAAAGAGTGCAAAGGGGGATCTGCCTCCTAAACTGTGTTTTAACATGTTTGTATTCCTGTCACTATAATCTTCCTTTAACAATTTTAATCAAACATCGAAATTGGGGGTAGGGAAGGGCATCCATCCTGAATAATAAGTTGCAACTCTGTCTGTCAGTGTGTGCGTGTGTCTGTCAGCGAGTGTGTGTGTAGCGGTCAGCGTGTGTCTGTGAGTGAGTGAATGTGTCTGTCAGTGTGTCAAATCTGTGAGGATGTTTGTGTAAGTGAGTGTGTGTGTGTGTGTAGCTGTCAGTGTGTGTCTGTGAGTGAGTGAATGTATGTGTGTGTGTGTGTGTCAGATCTGTGAGGATTTTTGTGTCAGTGTGTGTCTGTCAGTGAGTAGGTGTGTCAGTGGGAGTCTGTCAGTGAAAGCGTGGGTTGTTTAAACAGTGTGTGTGCCAATGACTGTTTATCTATCAGTGAATGTATGTCAGTGTGTTTGTCAATGAGGGCGGGTGTCTGTCAGTCAAAAAAGTGTCCTTGACATGCAGTGGTGGGGCATATTTAGATTAGGGGGGTGTCCAATTTAGTCGTGCCTAAATCCAAAATACACCACTGGATACAATGACAATTTTTTTTTATAGTACAATAAATAATCAGACTCTATATTCACTTTTAATCTTTTTCCCAACCATCCCAGTAATACCTAAGGTTATCCTGTACTGGAGAAAATTGTCTAGTAGCTAGCTCATAAAATTTGTATTCCAAAACAGAATTTAATACTTCATTAATAGAGGGGCTCACAGGGGATCTCCAGTGTCTTGGGATGACCATGGTAGCAGCGATTAGGATGTGACCAATTATAATCTTACCAATTTTTTCATTATCATCTTGGACTTTTTTGACTAAGGCAAAATCTGAAGACAATATATATTAAAGTAATAGGGATATTAAAGTTAACTTTTTAATCAGTGTATATATATATATATATATATATCTTTCCAATATTGTGTTAATTTTGGGTAAAACCAAAAAAATATGGGATAGTGATACCACCAATACTCAATTCCTTCAACATTTATCAGAGTTTTGGAATAAATTTCATTCATGCTATGGGAGCTAAATAGCATCTGTGATTTGAACACTTTCTGAATGCACTGTATCTATTTTTAATAAATATCTGCATTGTGTAAAGTCAGGTGTATGCAAGGGCCACATCACTGCCTTTAGGCTCATAACATACAACAAATAAATTATTAGTACAAGGATATGTAAATAAAATCATGTCATCCCTAAATCAATAAATATAACATTTATATAAATGAGTTATGTGTCTGAAAATGATTTAATCAATTTACTAATAAAGTCAATAACTGGTGAAGTGCGCAAGAACAAACTGCAACTTTTATAGTGTCCAGGTGTAGTTGCTATGGTAACTAACTCAAGAGTGTGATATGTCCTGACTTACATCCGACAACAACTAGTTAGGAAAATAACACCAGAGAACCAGGCAGGAAAATTTCAGACGATGTTCAAGTTTCTCTTCCAACTGTTTTCGAATATCTTGAGATAAAGTGTCTAGAGTACAAAAACAGCAGGTAATCAATGAGTTCAATGAGTTATCATGCACTACATATTATTATATTAAAGCGGAACCGTCAACATCTGGGGTCTTTGCAGAATTTGCAAAGACCCCCGACTATGACATTTCTGCTGGAGGTCCAGAGTCGGGGGGGGAGGGGGGCATGGAAAGGTAAGCTCAACTTACCTGCAGCTATCCCTCACAGGCGCCGCCATAACCTACCAGCTGGTCTTCTTCTACAGCGCCAGGAGCTGACGTCACTCTGTATGCTCACACATTCACGAAAACACAGCATTAAGGTCTATGTAGACAGCAGGATCCTCCATAGACAGAGCCAATTCCCTGCAGCTGAATTTACACTTCCTGACGGCCATAATTCTGCCCAGTGTTAACAAGTGCCAAGCGTAGGAAATATATGGAGACAAAGTAGTCACTATATCTTTTGACGGAGTTAGAATTTCAGGGAAATTCCAAAACAGTCAATATGAGTATTTATTAAAGATTTTATGTATGGAAGGTGTGGGGGGTGACAGTGCCAGTTCAATTGCTTATAAAATGTATGTGCAATATGCCAAATATATATAGCAAAAAGTGTGTAGCACATTTTTCCTTTGATAATGTTTTTGGAAGTTGTGAATGAGAAGATGTAATGCGGAAGCTCTAATGTCTTGTGGCTTATTCTCCAGACAGCACCACTCGGAATCCCCTTCACACTGCATGAGCGCAAGGTTTTAATCAGCCTGTCTATGCCCATTACTGAACTACTTAATATAAATGTAAATGTGGCTCTCAGGCATCTGGACAGCAAGGAAACTAAATGCAATTATAACCCTTCAAATAAGAAAATGTGCAGGAGGTAAAGTCCCCACAGCTGGATATGTGGCAGATTGCAAACTTATTTAAATGAAAACCTAGTGTCTGCATTGTTTATCACCATAAAGTGTTTGACAAAATGATCAGTCCAACTGTCTGCAGTAAGAACTGACATTTATTGATCTAATTAATGCCATGTCTGGATACTGACCTCATTTAAACATTTCCATACAATAAAGGACCCTCTATAACTAGAATTCATACAGCATACAAGATCATTCCAGGGCCCTATTTAGCCTAGACCTGCAGAGAGTCCCAGGAGGAAGCATTTCCCAAGTAAGTGGATTAATCTCATAAGAGCAAGCATTAAGCATCTATAGTAGGCCTTGCCAAGAATGGGGTACAATGACATTGTAGCAGGCTTATGCAATGTATGATGATACACTGTAACTTTATCCCCATTATGTTTTGCCTAGGTGAGGTGTTTAACCCCAATGACTGTTCAGGATAGTCCTCAGAAATATCCCCTTGAGGACTGATGACAGTCCTGAACCGTCATAATTACTTACCCGATCGCCGCCATTCCCCTGCCGGCGATCAGCGTTGCTCCAGGTCTGGGGGGACTGCCTGACAGCCCAGACAGTTCCCCCTCGGAAAATTAGGCGCCTGCGATCATGTGATCGCTCTAACAACGCGGGCACATGGCCACAATAGGTGCCTGTGTATCTGCCTGCAGGCGGACTGCCTGTGCTGACAGGCAGTCTCCCTGCTGCTGGAAAATAAAAAAATATAAATAAAAATGTTTAGTTAATAAAATAAAAAAATTCATATAAAGCGAGGGCTTGCACTCCTGGTGTAATCCTGTGGTGCCTGGTGCTGGTCTGGCAAGGATCATGTAGACATAGCAGAAATGACCGCACTCCAAGGACTTTATAGAGATTTTCAAATAAAATGTAACTTTTATTCAATCCATTTAAAAAGTCAACGTTTCAGCTCCCACATGGAGCTTTCAGCTCCCACATGTTTTGTCCTGATGAAAGCTCCATGTGGGAGCTGAAACGTTGACTTTTTAAATGGATTGAATAAAAGTAAAATTTTATTTGAAAATCTCTATAAAGTCCTTGGAGTGCGGTCATTTCTGCTATGTATGTGTATATATATATATATATATATATATATATATACACACACACACACACACACACACACACACATATATACACATATATATATATATATATATATTATAATTGAAAAAGAGGATGCACTCAGAGGTCTTTTAGAAAAAAGTAATGATATTTAATCCATAAAAGGTTTACAAATAATTTGATTGACGTTTCGACCCAATAGGGTCTTCCTGTCTAAATTATTTATTGATCACCCTGGAGTATCCCATATAATTTATACAGATGAGAAAGCCATTGCCCAGTATAAGGCTTTTTTTAGTTTTGTTGCTTCCCTTAATGTAAAATAAAAATGAAGCGAAAATTATAAATGCAGAGACAATTTTGGAGTGCGGAAACTACTTTAAAGAGTAAAATTTAAAAAAAAAAAGGTTAAATGTATAATTTCATTTTTAAATAAACTATAATTATAACTAAAATCATTATATTGTTTGTGCATTTATTGTCCCTCTCAATCTGGCCAATCACAATACTTAAATTGAACATGTATTATTAAAATGATCTGTTACATCAGGTATCATAGAATTGTGATGTTTTCAAGAGAATAAGGAATGAGTGGTAGATAAACAATGAGTCACTGTATACAAATAGCTCATATGGCATTCTTGGCAATTACAGAAAACATGAGATTATTTTAGTATTATTTTGTACGTAATGTTCACTATTCTTGCATATAAATCTGAAGATGAGTTAAATAATATTCATATTTTACATACTCAGACAAACCATGATCAATCATGATGTCAGTAGGAGCAGTGTGACTCATGATGTAGGCAAATTTAGGTTTTTTTTTCAACATGCTAAAATTGTGTATTATGGGATGGGATTAACTCTAAACCCCTTAACCGCACCTTAGCCTTGTGTTTTATGCGTCAGTTTAATAGTGATGTTGTATCACCTTATTAGTTTGTGACAATTAAAATAATATTTTCTAAAGAGGACATTTTTAGTTTACGTGGATTCTTGGTAGCTGGTTGTGTTAACAGCCAATAAGAATAAAATAGGAACAGCGAGGGTAACGTGCATGCTGGGGTTTCATTTCATGTTCATTAAAAAAATGGAGTAGGAAACTGAAGTGAATTGCTTCATATTTTTTTCAGCAAAGTACATAAGGGTGCACCATCCATCATTCATAAAAATAAAATCCCATGCCAAACTTGTGGTGCATTAAGAGTTACTATGGAGATCCAAGTCCAGTCACCAAGAGCCCCATACCTCAAGAGTAATAGTTTCCTACCGATATTCTCCTTCCTGGACAGACAAAACTAGTCAAGATGTTCGGATTCACAGGCAGGATCTGCCAGTAAGCTGGTCAGTGACTTTGCGACCTCTAGGCAGGATATTTAGCTAGAAGTCGAAGACCCAGCTCAACCAACAAAAAGCTTTGTTTTCAGAAAATATTTGCCTTTTCTCATACCCAAAATAAACAAGATTGACAAGAAAATGTTTTGCCCCACTGTGGTATTTTCAATGTGCAGAGCAAAAGGTACAATAATTGAAAGGAATCGCACCAGTATGTCATGTACTAAAAAAATAAATGAAATCTGACAAACAATGCCATTGCTGGTGCTGGTATTGTGACAATTCCATCTTACCACGCTGAAGGTAAGCACAAGAGGGATATAGACTGAAGATGCCTTGAATGGCCCAAAGGTACTTCAACAGTGCATGCAATCATCCATACATGTCCCTCCCCTCTTCCCAAATAAGTTAGTGCACCACGTGATGGCTAGTGGCCAAGGTTCATTGGCACCTTGGGTTCCAAAACATTTGACCAACCCTCCAACCAAAGAAGCAGAATTTCCCTCTTGATAACTAGATGGGTACTACAACTGGTATTAGCCAAAAAAGGATTCATTTTAGTAGCACAGCCATTCCTCCCTGCACTGTTCAGTTGATCACTGCATACCATTAGATATAAGAATGAATTTTGTCAGGCAGTCAGCAAGACAGTCAGTCATTGTGCCACCACATTTCTACCGCCCCATTTCTTAAATATTGGGGGTTGTTTTTACATGTACTTTACCTGTGACATGGACATCCTGTTGTTTTCATAATTAGTATGTGTTTGGCAGCATACCTGCTGGTTCTCCAAATTACATATCTATATTCTCCATAG